CAGCCCCTGGCGGGGCCGCCGCGGCCTGCGGGGCGGGCGCCGCGTTTGGGTTTAAAACGGCTGCGAGCCCCAATAAAGCTTAAAGAGAGGGGAAACGCGCTTTTCCTTCCGCTTGTAATACATATGAGGCGGCTTTGCGGTCAGTTGTAGAAAGACCCGCAAAGCCTGCGCCACATTTGGGTGTCTGTGTTCCCTCTGCTCCTGCGTCCTGGCTCCCCCGGAGCACCTGGAGGCTGAGGAGAAGCCGCTGCCCTGGATGGCGACCCCGTGGGATGCCCTTTCTGCAGGGCTGGGAGGGGGAACGGGCCCTGTTGTGGGCACCCCCTCTGCCCTGGCCCCGTCTGCAGGGCTGCGCTCGCCTCTGTGTGAGCTCTGCGGGCGCTTCAACCTCGCTCCTTGTGTAAACGTTGGAATAAAAAAAATTACTACATAAGTTCCACAAAGTTCTAATTCCCTGGATCATCACTGTCCCCGGTTATAGATGCACATGATCCCGTGCCTTTCTATTTTTAGGGCGGCCGGGATGCCCGCTTTGCGAGGCCGTGTGGCCGCCGTGACGTGCGGCGTTACCAGTGCCCTCTCTGCAGCAGCGGCAGCGAAACCTCCCTTTTGACTGTTCCTGTGTCTTCATCCGGCTTTCGTGCGATGTTAGCAGCGGAAACCAGTGGAGGAAACAAAATCTTCTGCTGTTGGTTCTCAAAAAAACTCAAGAACTCTACTTGGGATATGAGAAAATGTATAGAAAAACGGGGAAAGTGTATCCTACCCAGTGGCCATCTACGTGAAAGCCCGCTAGGAAGATAAAATGCTGCCATCCTTGAAAAGACAGCAGTCTTCTGTAGTAGTACTTGGAACACAAAATGTTAAAATGATAATTTAATGGTGTTGTGGTGAATTTATCACATCTGTTTATCTAGAAATGAACCCCATCATGCTCTCTTTTGAAGTTTGTTTGAGAAAAGAAAATGCTGCCTGATCTGACAAACACCATTGTGCATTAAAGACTTCATGAACTGGCACCAAAGATGAATAATTTACCTTCTTTTTTAACAGTAGCACCTGGATAGAAATAGAGTGGCAGTGTGCTGCAAAAACAAGAATTTACATATTTTTCTATGAGTGACTATGAAGCACCAGAATTTAGAAAAATGTACCTAAAAATTATATAAGGAGGCATCCTCTTACAGGATCAGGATGTAAAAAGCTGCAGGAGCAGAGCGCTGTGCCTGGGTATATTGGTGTGTTGAGTGTACTAGTAGATATACAGACACGGGTTGTTATGAAATCACCGTTGATGATCTCCCGTTTGTGGCTGGCAATACAGGCTGTGTCTTTGTATCCCCAGGCCGTGTGTTGGATGAGTGGTTAGTGCCTGGAGCCGGCTCAGGGCTGGGGACACGCGGCCGTCCTCGCTGCTCTCCGTGGGGAAGAGCGCACTGCTCTGCACACAGCTGTGCGTCTGTAACGCAAAGACCTGTTACTGCGCGGGAGGAATCCCGAAAGATCCCCCTCCAGCCCTACCCAGGAGGTAAAAGTGTAGGAGTTTTTCCCTATGCTGAGTGGCGAGATTGTCTGTGTCCTTAATGGCTTCACGATGCTGCATCACTGAATTTTCCTGACTTTGAGGCGAGGAAGGCGGATGTTGGAGTTTGGGATTTTGCTGAAGGGATACCCCACAGGTGGATTTGGGTCTCTGCTCTCTTCTAACGGATGCGCAAAGGAAGAGCAAGGTACTGGATGAGTTGGTTCTCTGCTGCAGGAGATGAAATTCTTATAGCGCTCTAGC